CTTCATCTGTATAATTTTATTTTGTATTTCCCCGCATGCTTGTGTTCAGTTCAATTCATTTTCCCAAATATGTCTGTTCATCAAAACTCAATCAAAATTGTATTTGCCCCATGCGTCTAATACATCATTTGTAGCCATTACAGTGAAATGCTTACTTACAATCCCTTAACCAACAATGCAGTTTTTTTGGAGGAAAAAATAAAATAAAAAAGTGTGGAAGTAAAAAATATATAAGTACAATAAAGGCACAATTAACTAAAGAATGCATCAGTAAAATAAAAAGAACAGTAAGGAGGGCTATAGACAGGGGTGTACGCGTTAGCAGACTCCAATGTGCCAGGGGCACCGGCTAGCGAGGTAATTGAGGTAATATGTCATGTGGTGTAGATTTTAAAGAGTGTCTATGTATAAATAATAAACATAGAGCAGCAGTGTAAAAAGAGGGGGATGGGTGGGTTTTTGGGGGGGCCGTGCAAATTGTACGGGTATTCCATGATTAGCTGTTCAGGAGTCTTATGCTTGGGGGTAGAAGCTGTTAAGAAACCTTTTTGGACCTAACTTGGCGCTGTCGTCATAGCAGAGAGAACAGTCTTGACTAGGGTTGCTGGATTCTTTGACAATTTTTAGAGCCTTCATCTGACCCCGCCTGGTATAGAGGTCCTGGATGGCAGGAAGCTTGGCCTCAGTGATGTACTGGGCCGTCCTCACCTACCGGGCTCTGTAACCTTGGCGGTCGAAGGCCGAGCAGTTTTGCGATACCAGCGGTGATGCAACCAGTCCGGATGCTCTCGAATTGTGGCAGCTGTTATACTTTTTGAGGATCTTAGGACCCCTTGCCAAATTTTTCAACCTCCTGAGGGGGAATATGCTTTGTCATGCCTCTTACATGACTGTCTTGGTGTGTTTGGAACCATGACAGTGTGTTGGTGATGAGGACACCAAGGAACTGAAGCTCTCGACATTCTTCCACTACAGCCCGGTTTTGATGGAATGGGGGCTGTTTTTCCCTCCTTTTCTCCAGTAGTCCACGACATCTCCTTCTGCTCACGTTGATGTAGAGTTGGTTTCCTGGCACCATACTGCCAACAATCCTGACCTCCTTCCCTCTAGGCTATCTCATCATTGTCGTGATCAGCCTACCACCTTGTGTCATTTTATTTTAATTTACACAGAAAGTCAACCCGTCAACCAAACAGTTCCCTCTCTCAAATGTGAAAACAATAATGTTCCCACACTCCTCCCCCTCGATAACCGCACCAAGGCCTCTGTGTGAAATAGAACATTGTCATGCTCTGATCCATAAACGCCACATAGTTTGCGAACCAGGTGTGCGCGCATGATTGGTTTTGAATGTTAGCTTACAATCCAAGTTACCTGCTACAGTATATTCTCTGAGTTTCGTGCTAGCTCTTTTGCCACCGGTTTGCTCCTCGTGTATCATAACATGTGTCCATATGGTCATAGAGACACCTTCATAACTAGAGTGCAGAAGGCCTTCCTGCCATCCCCCGCTAGATGGAGCCCCATCTGTGCAAAAGCAACCATTGATCCCATTTGATCTGTTTCTTGTCAATATAGCCATGCCGCACACTGAACATCCCCCCCCTGGTGCCGTTTCATGCTCGGGAATGTGAGACAACAATATGTCCTTGTGAGAATAAGCCTCCCTCGACTGTACAGGCGAACAAACGTCAAATGCATGGGTTCGTCCCCTATGCATACACATCTAGGAGGCAGGGCCATGATACAAAACACCAATGAGGGAACCATTTAAGTTTCCGCTAGCAACAGCGTATGTATGTGCTGTCTATCGTGCAGGAGTTGACTCCGCCCAGTGGAGGAATAAATATATGTACTTGTGGAAACATGTCTTTTGTCTTATGCAGCTTTTTGACCCAGTGGGTGAAACACTTGGTTTGGAGCTTTTCCTAGTAGTCCGTGAGTTTTACTTGTTTTATTAAGAACCTAACAGTATTCAGGACAAAAGTTAATTTCTTTGCCAAAAATTTTTTGCATTAATTTCTTTAGTGCTTTTTACAAGCGAAGCATGTTTTGAATATGCTTATTCTGTCCAGTCCTTCCTTCTTACAATCTGCCCTGTAAAGGCAGGGGTTTTCTCAAACCTTCCTCGGGACCCCCCAGCCATTCCTATATTTTGGAACTATTCCACAGCTATCAACTGATTCAAATTGTCAACTAATCATCAAGCCTGACTAGGTAATCAACACGAGCTAGTTCAGGCTACAACACAATTGTGAACATGTCTGGGGGTCCCTGAGGAGAGGTTGAGAACCACTGATTTAGGTTAGTATTGTGAAGTAACACTGTACAATGTCGTTTATTCCATCCTCAGTTTTTCTCCTAATCACAGCCATTAAACTCTGTAACTGTTTTTAAAGTCCCCATTGGGCCTCATGGTGAAATCCCTTAGCGTTTTCCTTCCTCTCGCAGCAACCTGAGTTACGAAGGAGCCTGTAATCGTTGTATTGACTGGGTGTATTGATACGCCATCCCAAGTGTAATTAATAACTTCCCTATGCTCAAAGGGATGGATCTTCAGAGTGTGCCTATCTACCACATCGGTGCCCTCCTTTGCGAGGCATTGAACAACCTCCCTGTGTAGTGGTTAAATCTGGCTTGAAATGTACTACTCGACTGTGGGACCTCACAGATAATTGTATTTTGGGGTACAGAGAATGTGGTAGTCATTGGTAAAATCACGTTCACCATTAATACTGAACACAGAATGCTCCATCATGCCAACTATTATATGACTTGTTATTACATTTTTAATCCTGAACTTATTGGACTTGCTATAACAAAGGGTTTTGAATACTCAAGACATTCCAGCTTTTTTGTTTTAATTTAGTTTATAACATTTTAAAAACAAAATTCTACTTGATGTTGGATATATCAGTGACACAAGCTGTAAACAAAAACAAAATGTGTAAAGTGAAGGGGTGTACTTTGCTTCTGAAGGCACTTTATATCAATGTGTTTAATGCCTCCTTCATCAAGGCATAAAATACCCACTGAGACAGACTTACTTTCCTGTTAGAATTTTTGCACCTTTTAGTTTCGCACATAACCAATTATTCAAGTCCTTGTCCTATGCTCTTCTCAAGAGTCTTGATTATTTAGATTGATGTGTAAAAGCTTCAACATTCACCTTTGTCAAAATATGTACTCATTTTAACGCAGGTTTCACAATTATTTAGCTGTACTTTTATAAAATGTCACACACACACAAAGACACACTTCATTAAGGAAAATTATGACAAAAACAACAATATTTTATTTTTTAAAAATTAAATGTTTTTTTTCTCATTTATTTTTTTTTATTTTTATATCAGTACCAGGCGCAACAATCAATTATTTGCTTTTTGTGAAGTCCAAGATCTTCATAATCACTTTCCCAAACTGTGTTATTCTTAAGACGTTCATTCAAGTGAGGTTAAGTTTTCCTTCTTTAAAAATAAACAATATAGTACAATATAGTCAATTTTCCTTCTCTTACTCAGTAGCAAAATGTAGTTTGTTACAGAGTACAGAAATGCAATGAGAGGGGAAGGGAGCAATCCCTGACTTGTGCAACGAGATAAATAAAACTAGGTCCACAATCCTAGTTTTTCCGCAGCTTCGTCCTCACGTACCATCACTCAGAGTTATAAACCCAGGAAGAGAGAGACCACGTTTCAACTGAATAAGAACACTGATCTTACATTTGAACCGCACCCATTATTTTTTTCATAGACAAAAACTTCCCCCTGCTTCCATGTCTTTTCTTACCCAGGGAAATCAGTGGAGGCTGCTGAGGGCTTCATAATATGGCTTGGAATGAGCAAATGGAATGGCATCAAACCATGGTGTTTTATATTTGGAGACTATTCCACTTAAATTCATAAAAAAATCCTAACAAGTGATTTTTCCTGGATTTTTTTTTCCCCCTCCAATTTGTCTGTCAATAGTTGAGTGTACCTATGATGAAATTACAGTAAGGCCTCTCTCATCTTTTTGTAAGTGAGAACCTTGCAAAACAAGTGTGGGGCTGACTAAATACTTTTTTTTCCCCCCCTGTACATTTGATAAAATGTCTACAAACCTTTTTTTGCTTCGTCATTATGGGTTTGTGTGAGATTGATTATGGGAAATAAACAATTAATCCATTTTTAGCATAAGCTGCAATGTAACAAAATGTGGGAAAGTAAAGGGTTCGATATACTTTCTGAATGTACTGTAGGCTTGCAATTGTTGGGTCATTGTAAATATAATCAAGTTTTATTTGATGGGGATTATAAACTTGTCAAAACAACTACATACAAGCCAGTAGAAGGTAGTTGTTCTCTCAATCCTAGTCCTCATAGATCTACATTGACAGATACCAATAAGATTCTTATTTTTCACAAATCACAATTCATGTTTTAAAAAAAACCAAAAATGCCTTGTTTTATTCACACCCAATAAACATGGAAATAATGATGTATAATACATTGATAAGAATATGGAACGCCAAACATTTTAGTCTTTATGCAGATGCTCTTATCCAGATCAATTAGGGTAAGTGCTTGCTCAAGGTGCACATCAACAGATTTTTCCCCCTAGGTCGGCTCGGGTATTAATAACCAGCGACCTTTCGATTACTGGCACATCGCTCTTAAACCATAAGCTAAAAAACTGCCGCCCGTTCTTCACAATATGATGAATCCCAATTCTTTATAGTATTTTAATAATCGAAATGATTGCTGACATGCTTTATAATAAACCACGATACTATTGACAGACAGGGATGTGATGAATTATGTTTTTTTTATGTTGCCGTGATTAACAAAATTGTGATTGGTGTTTGGAATCATTTTCCAGGTGAGAAAGTGGGAGGACATCATCATCCTCATAACTGGTCCATTGTAAATGAGTGGATGAGGGACCCATCTTCTGCCTAAAGAAAGTCACTTCCTTTCTTTCCGGATAATCCAGATGATACCGACTTTTATCTGGAATTCCTACGTCAAGAACACGTTTTCATCCTCCATGGCTTTTAAGTCTTGTCCATTGGATAGTATGATTACCCAGAAGCCATCATTGGTCTGAAAGCCCAACGGCCCCTTCCTGTGAGCCGTTGCCTTGGCAACGCCAAGCACCCAGTCATCCTTCTCCTTCACATCCACCTCCCAGTAAGTCTTCAAAGCACGGCCCGTATTGCCCAACACAAAAGGCTCTTCATCAAACAGTTCTCAATGTCAATGTTTCTCTGCGATGATTCACCTATCCAATGTAGTGATTCCCATTTATCTTCAGCTTAGGGTGAGCTGTGTCCCACATCCAGAGTAACATACACTGTGGGAATAGGAAAACAACATATTTTATTCACTCATTATTTTCATTGTAATTGCATCTTTAGTGATTAAAGATTAGGCATATAGGGCAGATAAAAATATTTTTTATTGAGTTAAAAAACAGATTCTGTTGACAGAGCGCATTACCTTCATGTGTGCGTGCTTTATTTATATCTGGTGGGGGAAAAAATGGGGGAAAAAATAGCAATTCTATGTCTCACATTTCATATGAATATTATCTGAAGTTATATTGTATTTAAAAGAGATGCATTACCGAACTCTGCAGTGTCCTTCCTGGATCTCACTGATGCATCTACAATTGCAATGATAAACCAGAATGAGGTATGGAACACAAAGCTAATAACTGGGAAAGATACTGTGTAATTAACAAAAATATACATCTGACTTAATTTGTATGCACATGGATAAGATGCCGCACTAGGGTAAGTTGGTGCAAAGTTGGTGCTTACCCAGAATATATACAGCATCATTTGTATTAATGTAGTATATTTCTCACCATTTCTAGGAGATGGGTTGAGCTGCGTTTCTGTCTGTAAAGGGTTGTCTAGCTCTGCAGTTGAGTCATAACCTTCATATCACCAAAACAATAGAATATTCCTTAAATAATTTAAATAAACATTCTTCATCTGAAATATTTGTCAGACCATACTGTATAACTGCACATGCTTTCCATCAATTTTATGTTTTTGTTGTTATTAAACAAAACATGCATGGATAATACGAGACCCCCCCACACACCACACTTCCTCCCCTATGTATAACATAAAACACTAAAATATTGAGTCCTTAAGAATCAGATATCATATTTTAAATCTACCAACTCTCAATTGTCCTCTTTTGAAATAATGATCCAGTAAAAGTATTTACATTAAGAGATTAAAAGCTTACCCTTGTTTGTTGAACCCCCTGTTCAATTATACATTTTCTTATTTTGAAAGACAAATATCCACCATAACCTTTTTGTGGCAAAGAGAAGAAAACAAACTTACTCTGTTCTTTTGTTTTTGATCCACAACATCCTGTAAAAGAAAGAAAGAGTTGTGCTTATTTTACTCCAGTGCTATATTTACTAAAGTTATACTGAATATAGTAGTCAGGGTAAATTCATGTATTTAGGGCTAATGATTTCGGTTTGTATATCGGAGCAGCTTTACCCATAGTGATGGTGGCTATTACCCATGGTGATGGTGGCTATTACCATGGTGATGGTGGCTAAATAGTAACAGCTAACAATCAAGTAGTCCCCAGTATATCACATGATGTATTTAGGGCTGGATTCAATCCGTATCGCAGAAGTATTGCGGATCCGAGTTCCAGCTCGATTGAAATATAAAGACAATGTTCCAGCGTTCTCTGTTCCTTTTTTTCAGTTGTTTTTGGACTAAGACAAATTGAACTTTATTAAAATATTTTTTGTTTCTTCCACTCCCTTAGTCGTGTTTTGTTTCTCTGAGTGCTGGGTTTAACCATAGCGTAACAGAACGATCTGGCCATGGACCAACAGAGAAACAGCACGGGGCAAACCAAGACAGCTTCCAACAAGCTATCCAGGCTCAAGGAACGTTGCTAGGACAGCATGACCAATTGATTCGGACTCTTTTGGAAAATAATCATCAACTGCTGAACCAGGTGACTCAGTTAACAACACAAGTCTCTAAATTGTCTGTTATCAGTTCTCCATCTCTCTCTGACCCCCAGTTTGATGCACCCCAAGTTGTTTCCTCTGACATTATGCAGGCTTCGTTCCATCGGGAACCCCCTGTCACGTCGCCTGAACCGTTCAATGGAGAATTGGACAAGTGCCAGGGATTTTTGCTTCAGTGTGACTTGATTTTTCGGCAGAGACCACTGTCGTTTTCTACTGATTCCTCTAAGGTACATTATGTTCTGGGGCTGTTAAGAGGGAGAGCTCTGGTTTGGGCTGAGGCTGTGTGCTCAAATCAAACTTTGACTGGAATGACTTTTGCAGATTTTTCTGCTAAATTGAAGACTGTTTTTGACCATCCTGACCATGTGGGTAATTCCTCCAAGATACTTTTTAATTTGTCCCGCCAGTTTGCTGACCCTTCGGAGACCAGCGAGCCTGAGGCAGTCCTACCTTCCTCATGCGTCGTGGCGGCAGTACAGTGGGAGATCGAGTCTCTTGTGAAGACTGCACTTGCCACGGACCCGGGACCGGGTGATGGACCTCCCAACCTACTCTTTGTTCCCGAGACGGTCCGGTCTCAGGTGTTGCAATGGATTCACACCTCCCGTTTTGCTGGTCACCCTGGGATGAGACGCACGTTGACGCTGCTTAAGAAACATTTTTGGTGGCCTTCAATGGAAACTGACGTTCGGGCTTTTGTGGCAGCCTGTTCAACCTGTGCTCGGGGCAAAGCCTCCCATCAGTCCCCTTCGGGGCTGCTGCTACCCCTCCCAGTTTCCAGCCGTCCCTGGTCCCACATAGCCATGGATTTTGTCACCGGCCTACCAAAGTCTGAAGGTAATGATACTATACTTACCATTGTGGACAGATTCTCTAAATCTGTTCACTATATAGCATTACCAAAATTACCGTCTGCCAGTGAGACAGCGGACCTCCTAGTCCAACATGTATTCCGTCTCCATGGAATACCTGTGGACATCGTATCTGATAGAGGCCCACAGTTTACTTCCCATGTTTGGAAGGTTTTCTGTTCTGCTTTGGGTGCTTCCGTTAGTCTGTCCTCAGGGTTTCATCCCTAGACCAACGGTCAAACAGAAAGAGCCAAACAAGACCTCGAAGCAACCCTTCGTTGTGTGGCTGCTCAACATCCATCATCCTGGGCCAAACATCTGCCTTGGATAGAGTACGCCCACAACTCCCTCACCACCTCTGCCACCGGCCTTTCACCCTTCGAAGTAACCATGGGTTATCAACCCCCTCTGTTTCCTGCTCAGGAGAAGGAATTGGCTGTTCCTTCGGTTCAGGAGAACCTCCGCCGCTGCCAGAGATTGTGGAGTGAAGCTCGGGAAGTGTTGCTTCGGACCACCGACAGGAACAAGACGACAGCGGATAGGAGCAGGACTCCCGCACCTGTGTTTCATCCTGGTCAAGAAGTTTGGCTGTCATCAAAGAACGTACCTCTTCGTACCAAATCATGCAAGCTGTCTCCTCGGTACCTGGGTCCGTTTGTGGTGGAGTCCATCGTTAACCCCGCTGCGGTTCGTTTGAAGTTGCCTTCAGCCATGAAGATACACCCTACTTTCCACGTCTCCCAACTGAAACCTGTGTCCTCCAGCCTTTTGTGTCCGCCGGCAGATCCACCTCCACCTGTTCGCCTCATTGACGACCATCCGGCCTACACCGTCAGTAGGCTCCTGGACTCTCGGAGGCGGGGTAGGGGTCTCCAATACCTAGTCGATTGGGAAGGTTATGGACCAGAGGAGAGGACTTGGGTCCCTAAGCGTTTTGTGTTGGATCCTCAGCTGATCACGGACTTCCATCACGACAACCCTGACAGGCCTGGTGGGTCGCCAGTTGGCGACCATTGAGGGGGGATACTGTTATGTGGGCAGCTTGTCTCTCCCTTTTCTGTTTCCCTTCCTCCTTGTTTTGTCCCCTCTTTGTCTGTTGTATCTGTATGTGTGTTTGTCCCGATTATGTTGGTGCGTCTGCCGGTGTGTGTCTGGAGTGGATCGGGGGGCGTGCTCAGGATCTGCCTCTCCTGTGCAGCTGCGGGTTGTTTCCAGTGATTCCTGCCTACGCAGCTCCATCCTATTCTCTCATGAACCTGCACTACTAATTCCTGGGCATGGCTCTCCACCGGCGCCAGATCATTGTTCTTACTAGAGCGGTAACTTGGCTCACCAGTAGAGTTAAATTGTCTTTGTCTTCAGCCTGGCTCTTTACTCTCCTTAACCTGTCGTTTGTTTTGTCTTCAGTTCAGACAAACCTGCCTGCCTGCCTGCCTGCCTGCCTCAGCGTCTCCTTCCTCCGGAGCCGACTAGCCCACTCTGTTCCTTTTCTTCAGTTGTTTTTGGACTAAGACAAATTGAACTTTTATTAAAATAATTTTTGTTTTTTCCACTCCCTTAGTCTTGTTTTGTTTCTCTGAGTGCTGGGTTTAACCATAGCGTAAGAGTAAAGGGTTTTCTAGCTCTGCAGTTGAGTCATAACCTTCATATCACCAAAACAATAGAATATTCCTTAAATAATTTAAATAAACATTCTTCATCTGAAATATTTGTCAGACCATACTGTATAACTGCACATGCTTTCCATCAATTTTATGTTTTTGTTGTTTATTAAACAAAACATGCATGGATAATACGAGACCCCCCCACACACACACTTCCTCCCCTATGTATAACATAAAACACTAAAATATTGAGTCCTTAAAAGTCAGAGATCATATTTTAAATCTACCAACTCTCAATTGTCTTCTTTTGAAATAATGATCAAGTAAAAGTATTTACATTAAGAGATTAAAAGCCTACCAGTCTTTGTTGAATCCCCGGTGCTCTGTCCTGTATAAAGTAATACAGTGTTCAATTATATATTTTCTTCTTTTGAAAGACAAATATCCACCATAACCTTTTTGTGGCAAAGAGAAGAAAACAAACTTACTCTGTTCTTTTGTTTTTGATCCACAACATCCTGTAAAAGAAAGAAAGAGTTGTGCTTATTTTACTCCAGTGCTATATTTACTAAAGTTATACTGAATATAGTAGTCAGGGGTAAATTCATGTATTTAGGGCTAATGATTTCGGTTTGTATATCGGAGCAGCTTTACCCATAGTGATGGTGGCTATTACCATGGTGATGGTGGCTATTACCATGGTGATGGTGGCTAAATAGTAACAGCTAACAATCAAGTAGTCCCCAGTATATCACATGATGTATTTAGGGCTGGATTCAATCCGTATCGCAGAAGTATTGCGGATCCGAGTTCCAGCTCGATTGAAATATAAAGACAATGTTCCAGCGTTCTCTGTTCCTTTTTTCAGTTGTTTTTGGACTAAGACAAATTGAACTTTTATTAAAATATTTTTTGTTTCTTCCACTCCCTTAGTCGTGTTTTGTTTCTCTGAGTGCTGGGTTTAACCATAGCGTAACAGAACGATCTGGCCATGGACCCAACAGAGAAACAGCACGGGGCAAACCAAGACAGCTTCCAACAAGCTATCCAGGCTCAAGGAACGTTGCTAGGACAGCATGACCAATTGATTCGGACTCTTTTGGAAAATAATCATCAACTGCTGAACCAGGTGACTCAGTTAACAACACAAGTCTCTAAATTGTCTGTTATCAGTTCTCCATCTCTCTCTGACCCCCAGTTTGATGCACCCCAAGTTGTTTCCTCTGACATTATGCAGGCTTCGTTCCATCGGGAACCCCCTGTCACGTCGCCTGAACCGTTCAATGGAGAATTGGACAAGTGCCAGGGATTTTTGCTTCAGTGTGACTTGATTTTTCGGCAGAGACCACTGTCGTTTTCTACTGATTCCTCTAAGGTACATTATGTTCTGGGGCTGTTAAGAGGGAGAGCTCTGGTTTGGGCTGAGGCTGTGTGCTCAAATCAAACTTTGACTGGAATGACTTTTGCAGATTTTTCTGCTAAATTGAAGACTGTTTTTGACCATCCTGACCATGTGGGTAATTCCTCCAAGATACTTTTTAATTTGTCCCGCCAGTTTGCTGACCCTTCGGAGACCAGCGAGCCTGAGGCAGTCCTACCTTCCTCATGCGTCGTGGCGGCAGTACAGTGGGAGATCGAGTCTCTTGTGAAGACTGCACTTGCCACGGACCCGGGACCGGGTGATGGACCTCCCAACCTACTCTTTGTTCCCGAGACGGTCCGGTCTCAGGTGTTGCAATGGATTCACACCTCCCGTTTTGCTGGTCACCCTGGGATGAGACGCACGTTGACGCTGCTTAAGAAACATTTTTGGTGGCCTTCAATGGAAACTGACGTTCGGGCTTTTGTGGCAGCCTGTTCAACCTGTGCTCGGGGCAAAGCCTCCCATCAGTCCCCTTCGGGGCTGCTGCTACCCCTCCCAGTTTCCAGCCGTCCCTGGTCCCACATAGCCATGGATTTTGTCACCGGCCTACCAAAGTCTGAAGGTAATGATACTATACTTACCATTGTGGACAGATTCTCTAAATCTGTTCACTATATAGCATTACCAAAATTACCGTCTGCCAGTGAGACAGCG